ATACACCCCATATTATATATACATCATATACAAACAATACTATATATAAATCATATACACCAAAAAACTAATACTATAAACACATCATATAAACCCCAATATGCAAAAAATATTATATAAATATAAATACAAAAAAAATTATAAAAAAAATATACACCCCATATAATAAAAAAACATCAATAACACCCCATACTAATAAAATACAACATCATATATTAACCCCATACTATATATACATTATATACACCCCATACTATAAATAACATCATATACACCCCATACTATATATATACACATCATATACACCCCATACTATATATACATCATATACACCCCCATATTATATATACATTATATACACCCCATACTATATATGCCCCCTACTGACCCCGGGCCCTCAGGCAGTGCCCGAGTTTCCGGATGGTCAGTCCACCCCTGCCCCATGCTATATATACATCATATACACCCCAAATGCCAAAATGTCACCATTTCTGCCAGGGGAGGGAGACTTTTAAGAAACTGTAAATAAATAATGATGAACTCTATCCCTTCTATACATTATATATCACGTACATCACTGTGTATTATTATTATACAGGATTTATATAGCGCCAACATATGATAAATAACATTTATTTCAGAATGTAAGGATTGCCCCCCCCCCCCCCCCCCCCCCCCCCCAGACATATATCCATGTGTAGGCAATATGAATGGATTTCTATGGGAATGTCAGGAGATTTGGTCGGGATGGATGGACTCCCTGAACTGGTCTGTAGATTACAGGACTAACCGGTATTTTGTGTTGCCGCCTTTGTTATCCAAATGTCATGGATTGCAATGCAGATGGGCCCCTTGGTCTGGGGGGGGGGGATAGGTGGGGGGCAGCATTTCTCTGTGAAGGGGGTGTGGCTTTGGCACCAGTTGTTTGAGACCGGTTTATCCAATTGTCCGATCCGTGAGGTCAGGAGATTCCATAGGATCCTCTAAGCGGGCTCTAGCCACCCCCCCCCCCCCCCGCCACCCCCCCAAACAAACAGAGAGAATATAATGGCGGGTGTAGCAATTTTTTTGTTATGTCACACGTTATTTGCGCAGCTTTTTTTTCAAATGCATTTTTTTGGGAAAAAAATACACCTTAATGAATTTTAGTGAACACAATACCTTTTTTTTTTGTAAAATATAAAAGATGATGCTTCACCGAGTCAATAGATACCAAACATGTCACTCGCTCATAGATTGGCAACAAACTTTAAATCATTCATCGGCGACACAAGAAAATCCTTTGTGGGTCAGCAGTGTAGATTTACACGGGAGGTCTGGGGACTGAATTGTCGCTCTCACTCTGACGTTCGTGGCGATACCTCACATGGGTGGTGCGATCACTGTACATAACCATGCGGGACTGGGCCACTGCGCGGGGCACAGGGGGGAGGGGGGGGGGGGGGTGGCAGGGACGCGGCTAGACTTTCCCATCTCTGGATAGAAGAGAGAGATATCCTTCGAAATCTGGGATACTCATCGTGTCGGTGGGGGGTTTGGGTTCCATCCAATCCTCTTCATGTGAAAGATATGCAAATTGTGCAGTTTTTGGCCAATCACAGATTCCTTAACCCCTCCCCCTGCAGAGGATTCCCCCCCCCCCCCCCCCCTTACTGACCAGACCATTTTCTGCATTACAGCGCTGATTACTTTAACTGACAATTGCGCGGTCGTGCAATGCTGCACCCAAATGAAATGTACATCCTTTTTTTCCCACAAACAGCACTTTCTGTTGGTGGTATTGGATCCCCTGTGCGGTTTTTATTTTTTTGCATTATAAACAAAAAAAGACCGACAATTTTGAAAAAAAAAAAATAGTATTTTTGTCTTTTCGCTATTAAACACGTCCAATAAAAAAAAATGTCGTTATAAATTTCATCTTACAATCTGGAACTTATAGCTTGATTACAACTATGCTACTACCCCTCTGCACCGGCGCCGGGCGCATAGATCCCCAGGGGCCAGTACTACCCCTCTGCACCGGCGCCGGGCGCATAGATCCCCAGGGGCCAGTACTACCCCTCTGCACCGGCGCCGGGCGCATAGATCCCCAGGGGCCAGTACTACCCCTCTGCACCGGCGCCGGGCGCCATAGATCCCCAGGGGCCAGTACTACCCCTCTGCACCGGCGCCGGGCGCATAGATCCCCAGGGGCCAGTACTACCCCTCTGCACCGGCGCCGGGCGCCATAGATCCCCAGGGGCCAGTACTACCCCTCTTCTCCAACTAATGTCAGTACGTTCAGGAACACAGACAGGCGTAGTCAGGCTGGAGAGGTAGAGTGGTCAGGCAGGCCAGGTCAGGAACAATCGGGCAGACAAGGTACAAACGGAGCAGGCAGTAGAAAGGTCAGGAATAGCCGAGGTCAGTGCAGGCGGAGTTCGATCAGTGTCAGAGTCAAGCAGGGGAAACAGGCAGACGACAGGACCAGGTACAGGGGCTCATGGGAAACAAACACCAAGGCACTGACTGCAGGTCTGGCCCTTGCTTAAATACACCTCCTGCAATCAGCCTCAGGTGATGGCCTGATTGCAGGAGTGAGATTCTGGCTGCTGAGAACACCCGCTGGCCAGCACTGGTACTGCAGCCCACAAGGCAGGTGAGCCCCAACACCACCTGTGCTGAGCCCATTCCTGAAAACCTCTTTTTCTCCCGCTCCCTTAACCTCCTAGCAATTACCGAAACCTGGATCCAAGCAGCAGATTCTGCCTCCCCCGCGGCACTCTCCTATGGAGGTCTCATCTGGACCCACTCACCCAGACCCAGCGGTCGGAAAGGTGGTGGGGTTGGTATGCTCCTGTCACCACTGAGCACCTTCCAAGTCCTCCCTAACCCTCCCTCTCTATCCTTCTCTTCTTTCGAGACTCACTGCATCCGGCTATTCTCCAATCTCTCTGAGGATTGCAGTGATCTACCGGCCTCCTGGACCCGTGTCCCGCTTTCTTGATGACTTCTCTGCCTGGTTACCCTTCTTTCTCTCCTCTGAGCTCCCCACCAGCATCCTTGGTGACTTCAGCATCCCTATCAACACCAATAACCCGGCTACATCCCAACTCCTCCACATAACCTCATCTTTTGCACTCGCACAGTGTATACAGTCCTCCTCCACCCACTCTGACGGGAATACCTTAGACGTTGTCTTCTCTCACCATTGTACTCCCTACAACCTCACAAACACCCCCTTTCCTCTCTCTGATCACAACCTCATCCCCTTCACAGTCTCCTCGTCCTCCAACACCCATCCCTCCAAACGGCAAACAATCACCAGCAGAAATCTCCGAACCCGGCTCCCTTCCACTCTGCCACTGACCAACTTTACGACATCCCCTGTCCTGCCCTGACCTGGCCACTACTGTCTACAACAATTCGCTGGCAACCGCTCTAGACTTGTTTGCACCCCCAACAACACGAAGCATCAGGCCCCGACCGCTCCAGCCCTGGCAGACTGACCACACCAAAAATCTCAAAGGACGTAGTCGTGCGCTGGAGCGACTATGGAGTAAAACCAAATCCCAACAAGCGTTCACCCGATATAAATCTGCCTTCCTAACATACACTTCCTCCCTTCACGCTGCCAAACAAGCCTACTTTGTTGCCCTCATTAATACCTTCTCCTCCAGTCCTCGTCAGCTCTTCTCTACTTTTAACTCTCTACTTTCTCCGCCTCCACCTCCACCCAGTACCTCACCTCCCACAAGATTGCTAACCACTTCAAAAACAAGATTGACACAATTCGTAAGGACATCGCCAATGCTCAGACCTCCACCCCACCTAGAAACCCTCACACTAAAACCCCCTCAACACTTCGCTCCTTCGACCTCGCTACTACTGAGGAGGTCACTAAGGTCTTCTCAGAAGCTCGCCTCACTACCTGCCCCCTGGACCCTGTCCCCTCACAACTCCTATGGTCACCCTCCTCCTCCATCCTATGCTCCCTCACTCACATCTTCAATCTTTCCCTCTCCACCGGTACCTTCCCCTCCCCTCTAAAGCACGCGCACATCACTCCCATACTTAAAAAGCCCTCCCTGGACCCCACCGACCTGAACAACTTAAGACCCATCTCCCTGCTCCCGGTTACCTCTAAACTCCTCGAGCGCTTAGTCTACAATTGCCTGAGCTCCTACCTCAACCACAACAACCTTCTCGATCCTCTACAGTCCGGCTTCCGTCCCCTACACTCCACTGAAACTGCCTTACTCAAACTCATCAACGACCTGCTAACCGTCAAAGCTAATGGCCACTACTCAGTGCTCCTACTCCTCGACCTCTCCGTGGTTTTTGACACGGTTGACCACCCCCTCCTCCTCAAAAAAAACTCCACTCTCTTGGCCTCCGAGACTCCGCTCTCTCCTGGTTCTCCTCCTACCTATCGCAGCGCTCCTCCAGTGTTACCTATAATGCTACCACCTTCCCCTCTCTCCTCCTCTCTGTTGGGGTCCCCCAAGGCTCTGTCCTCGGGCCCCTTCTCTTCTCCATCTACATCTCCTCCCTTGGCCAATTGATACACTCTCACGGCTTCAACTACCATCTCTATGCCGACGACACACAAATCTATCTCTCTTCCCCCCACCTCACCCCCTCAGTCTCCAATCACATCACCAGCCTACTAAGTGACATATCGGCATGGATGTCACTCCACTTCCTCAAACTCAACCTTTCCAAAACTGAGATTCTAGTATTCCCCCCAGCCTGTAGCCCCCTGACTTCTCCATCAAGACTAACAACACTATCATCAGTCCCACCCCTCATGCCAGGTACTCGGTGTCATCCTAGACTCCCATCTGTCCTTCCAGCCCCAAATCCAATCACTGTCCAAATCTTGTAGACTTCACCTCCGCAACACCTCCAACCTCCGCAACATCTCCAACCTCCGCAACATCTCCAACCTCCGCAACACCTCCAACCTCCGCAACATCTCCAACCTCCGCAACACCTCCAACCTCCGCGACACCTGCAACCTCCGCGACACCTCCAACCTCCGCAACACCTCCTACCTCCGCAACACCTCCAACCTCCGCGACACCTCCAACCTCCGCAACACCTCCAACCTCCGCAACACCTCCTACCTCCGCAACACCTCCAACCTCCGCAACACCTCCTACCTCCGCAACACCTCCAACCTCCGCAACATCTCCAACCTCCGCAACATCTCCAACCTCCGCAACACCTGCAACCTCCGCGACACCTCCCACCTCCGCAGCATCTCCAACCTCCGCAACATCTCCAACCTCCGCAACATCTCCAAGATACGCCCGTTCCTAACCCCGGAAAACACTAAGCAACTCATTCACTCCCTCATTATATCACGCCTTGACTACTGTAACTCCCTCCTCATTGACCGACCTCATCGCAGGCTATCCCCCCTCCAGTCTATCATGAATGCTGCTGCCGGTCTCATCCAGCTTACTAACCGATCTGTATCTGCCACCCCTCTCTGCCAATCCCTCCACTGGCCTCCATTCAGTGTCCTCCACCCCTCTCTGCCAATCCCTCCACTGGCCTCCACTCAGTGTCCTCCACCCCTCTCTGCCAATCCCTCCACTGGCTTCCATTCAGTGTCCTCCACCCCTCTCTGCCAATCCCTCCACTGGCCTCCACTCAGTGTCCTCCACCCCCCTCTGCCAATCCCTCCACTGGTCTCCATTCAGTGTCCTCCACCCCCCTCTGCCAATCCCTCCACTGGCTTCCATTCAGTGTCCTCCACCCCTCTCTGCCAATCCCTCCACTGATCTCCACTCAGTGTCCTCCACCCCCCTCTGCCAATCCCTCCACTGGCCTCCACTCAGTGTCCTCCACCCCCTCTGCCAATCCCTCCACTGATCTCCATTCAGTGTCCTCCACCCCTCTCTGCCAATCCCTCCATTGGCCTCCCATTGCCCAATTGATAAAATTCAAAACACTAACATTGACATATAAAGCCGTTCATAATACCGCCCCAAATTACATCACCAATCTTGTCTCCAGATATCACCCAAACCGTCCTCTCCGCTCCTCACAAGACCTCCTACTCTCTAGCTCCCTTGTCTCCTCCTCCCATGCTCGTCTCCAGGACTTCTCCAGGGCTTCCCCCATCCTCTGGAACTCCCTACCCAAATCTATGAGACTATCGCCTACTCTGCTCACTTTTAGGCGATCTCTGAAAACCGATCTCTTCAGGGAAGCCTCTCCTGCCCTCAGCTAACACTGGAATCCTCTACTCTTCCAACCAGTCCATCCCCCACAGTTACTACCTTTTGTACCACTAGCCCCTCCCTCCTAGATTGTAAGCTCCCAGGATCAGGGCCCTCCTATCCCTCTTGTATTGATCTGTATTGTTGCTGTACTGTCTCCCACTATAATGTAAAGTGCTGAGCAAACTGTCGGCGCCATAAATCCTGTATAATAATAATACATTTCAGCCAAAATGTCTCCCGCTCCGTGTCTTCCCAATACGTGTAAATTAATTGGTTTACATGAAAGTTACAAATGGCGGGATAGATACGGGATTGTTATTTTTTTTTACTAGTAATGGCGGCCATCAGCGACTTATAGCGGGACTGCGGCGGGCATTCTGACACTGGGGGGGGGGGGGGGGAACTGACTTGGTGTCACTGACATTCCCAGTGACACCAATACAGTGATCAGTGCTAATAAAAAGCCCCAACACTGTACTAATGGCACTGGGCAGGAAGGGGGGTAACATCTGGGGGCGATCAAAGGGTTAACTGTGTGCTGTGTTACTAGGCAGACATGCTGTGCAGAGATACAAAGCAGCATGTCCTTGCTGACGGGAGAGACCTGTGGTGTAAGATGTATATACCTTCCTATGTTCAGTCCGGTCATGTGATTTGGCTCTCCTGTGTCAGCCAGTAGTGGCTGCAGGGGAGAGGAGGATGGGGGGACATTGAAGTCTATGGGCGGCAGCACTGCTCCTAGGTATTACTAGCTGTAGTTGGGCGCTCTCTCTCTCCTCTCATCTGCAGGAAGGGGCGGGACAAGGCGTGAGCTGGAGGGGTGGCTGCCCTGAGCGCGGTTGGGGATTTGGAGGGTCATGCTAGAAGGGGTGATTTGGAGGGGGGGGGGTTGAAACTAGGAGGGTGGATTTGTGTTAGGAAGAGGGATTGGGGGGGGGGATTTGTGCTGGGGGAGGGATTTTGGAGTGGGGAGAGGATTTATGCTTGGAGGGGAAATTTGAGGAGCAGAGGATTTGTGCTGGGGGGGGGGGGGGATTTATGCTTGGAGCATAAATTTGAGGAGCAGAGGATTTGTGCTGGGAGGGGGGATTTTGAGGGGGGAAAGGATTTATGCTCGGAGGGGAAATTTGAGGAGCAGAGGATTTGTGCTGGGGGGGGGGGGGATTTTGAGAGAGGAGAGGATTTATGCTCAGAGGGGAAATTTGAGGTGTTTAGGATTTGTGCTGGGGGGGGGGATTTTGAGGGGGGAGAGGATTTATGCTCAGAAGGGAAATTTGAGGAGCAGAGGATTTGCGCTGGGGGGGATTTTGAGGGGGGAGAGGATTTATGCTCGGAGGGGAAATTTGAGGCGCAGAGGATTTGTGCTGGGGGGGAATTTTGAGGGGGGAGAGGATTTATGCTCGGAGCAGAAATTTGAGGAGCAGAGGATTTCTGTTGGGGGGGGGGGATTTGGGGAGAGAGCAGATTTGAGCAGGGAGGGGAGATTTTTATTGAAAGGTACATTTTTTCTTTAGGGGGAATTTTTGCTTGGGGGGGGGGGGTGCAGGTTAATGCTTGATTTTTGCTAACTCACAATTCTGATACAGTTGGGGGGGGGGGGGGGTGGGCACCGGTTGGCATCTTTGCCCTGGACGATCGGTGACCTTGTCCAGCACTGCCTTCAGCAGGTGGCGCTATACCCCCCTCTCCCTCTTTCCACGCTATCTTTTTCCCTTTTGCTACCCCTTCTCTCGCCCTTTTTACCCCTGACTCCTCCCTCTCTATATCCCCCCTCGATATCCCCCCCCCAACCCTCCACCCTTCTCTCCTATCTCTTTCCCTTTTACTATCCCTCTCTATTCTCCTCCCCTTGGCTCCCACCCCCTCCATTTTCCCCCTCCTAGAAGAGTTGATGGTCTATCTGGGTCTTCTTGGTCCCATCTGGGTCTTCTTGGTCCCATCTGGGTCTTCTTGGTCCCGGTCATGTTCTCTCTCTGTTGATCGATCGTGTTGGACCCGCGTTCCGCTCGTCTCATACAATGTGGTCTTTTCTCTGCAGGCTCCGTACCATGGCATCCCCATTGATCCGCCTCAGCCACATCACCCTGCAAGTCTCCAGCGCCCAGAAGACCATCGCCGATCTGGTGACCAAATACCGATTCCGCCCGTTTGCCGCTCGTGGATTGGACGGGACCTCGTCATGTCAGGTGGCTTTAAGACACGGCGGAGTGACGCTCATGGTGAACGAGAACCGTCAGCTGGTACGTTCCTCTCTGCTCTATGATTGGCCGGTTCCCCTCCCATCAATGGACACCGCCTGCAATGTCAGCTACGAGGTGGAAGACCTCCCAGGTCTGTGCCGCCGATTGGCCAACGAAGGTTGCCGCCTATTAGTGCCGCCAACGGAGTTGCGTGATGACGCCGGTCCAGTTTCGTACTGCGTGGTGAAGTCTATAGCTGGAAACGTGAACCACACGTTGATTGACCGCAGTCGCTACGGAGCGCCATTTCTTCCTGGGTTCCAGCTGCTCCACAGTGATGACGTCTCCGCGGGGGATGTGACATCTGTAGACCATGTGACCTATGCCTGCCCACGAGGAGCCACCCCGGGTGTCATGGACTGGTATAGACGTTGCTTTGGCTTCCAGCATTTTCCTCTGTCCAGCGGAGAAGACCCTGCCCGTGGCTTCGAGATTAGTGGCCCTCAGATAGGTCTGCGCTTGACCTCCATAGCGTGCCCCGGGCATGATGACGTCCCTAAGATAGTTATGGCTGAAGCTTTACCGCAGAACGGAACCAACCAGATCGACCAGTTCCTGCGGCACCACCGAGAAGGCGGGATTCAGCACGCCGGCCTCTCCACTCCTGATATCTTCAAAGCCGCCTCTTCACTGGCGCAGTGCGGAGTCGTGTTTGCTGGGCAGCCCCCGTCCTACTATACGGACCCCCAGAAACAGGCGGAGATCCTCCGTGCCGGGCTGGAGCCCCAACACCTCTCACAGTTGGGCATCTTGCTGGATTCTTCCACAGGATCGGTGGAGGAGGACGGCAGGATCCTGTTACAGGTCTTCACGGAGCCCCTATTCAGCAAAGATTCCTTCTACCTGGAGCTCATCGAACGTCGGGGGGCCCAGGGATTCGGTGAAGGAAATATCCGCGCTCTGTGGCGCTCTATGCAGGATATGATGGAAGATCAGAGCCAGAAGCAGCAGGAGGGGGCCACGTCCCACTGAACGGTCCTCAATGACAGGCCGGTCCAGGGACCAGGGACAGGGAGGTCATGTGACTACAATAGACGGCTGGAACGTGACAGGTGAGCCAGGGCTCCCCCCGCAGGTCAGCTACTAGAAGTACAGGCGGTGGTAGGTGACTGATCGCCCTCTACCTGTCACGTTGTGTACATACATGGAGAAATATACACGTCAAAGTGCAGCTCTGATCACGTCACTCCTGGGGGGCCCATCCGGTTTACATATTTATTGACTTCCTGAGACGTTGTACTGACTATAAAGATGTAGCGTGGCTTGGTCCCAGTCCTTGCCTCCCGTGTCCGGGTCCTTGCCTGTCTCCCGTGTCAGGGTCCTCGTCTCCCGTGTCCTCGTCTCCTGTGTCCGGGTCTTTGTATCACTTGGACGTTTTTGTGTAATAAATATTTATTGTAGCTAAAATAATCGCTCTCTGGTCCCGATACATTGGCAGATCTCTGGCAGGATACATTACTGAGGTCAACCGACAGAGAGGCCATCAACCTCCTGGACTGAGATCCTGGTGCCTGTGCAGTCCTGTCCACTAATGTCTGACACAGATCAGCCCCTCACCTTGTGACTGGCTACTAAGTTACAATGTACAGTCTGATCACTGGGGAAATGTCACTGTACCCCCGCTGTGCCCATTATGAGGGGTTCCCACCATCCCTGTGCCCGTTATGAGGGGTTCTCGCCATCCCTGTGCCCGTTATGAGGGGTTCCCGCCATCCCTGTGCCCGTTATGAGGGGTTCCCGCCATCCCTGTGTCCATTATGAGGGGTTCTCACCATCCCTGTGCCCGTTATGAGGGGTTCCCGCCATCCCTGTGCCGTTATGAGGGGCTCCTGCCATCCCTGTGTCCATTATGAGGGGTTCCCTCCATCCCTGTGCCCGTTATGAGGGGCTCCTGCCATCCCTGTGAACATTATGAGGGGTTCCCTCCATCCCTGTGCCCATTATGAGGGGTTCCCGCCGTCCCTGTGCCCATTATGAGGGGTTCCCACCATCCCTGGGTCCATTATGAGGGGTTCCCACCATCCCTGGGTCCATTATGAGGGGTTCCCACCATCCCTGTGCCCATTATGAGGGGTTCCCCCCATCCCTGTGCCCATTATGAGGGGTTCCCACCATCCCTGTGCCCATTATGAGGGGTTCCCCCCATCCCTGTGCCCATTATGAGGGGTTCCCACCGTCCCTGTGCCCATTATGAGGGGTTCCCACCACCAACATGGGAGGGATTCCTCTCCAGTACAATCATCGATACGATAACACAAATAAATCGTTTTGGTCGGGACGTCTTTATTTTTATTTTAAAAAAATTACAAAAATATTTGATTTATAAAAAGCTGCAACAGATGAGAATAAAATATACAAAATGTCCAACTGAATAAAAATCGATAGAAGATCTGTTCAGTGTGGATGAAGGGTCTCCCATCCCCGGGGAGGACATGCTGGGACTTGTAGTTCCTCGGAGCGCACTGCACATGCCCTTACAATACATAGTTAGATCTTGAGGAGGTTGTACAATCAGATTGCATAGTGTATGGTGAGCATACATCCAACAACCTGACCATACAATCTGTTTAGATTGAATACCTACCTAAACGATCCAATCGGTCTGTATCCGGATAGGCAGGCCTGAGCACCACACAGCTGGTGGGGGATCCACGGCAACTGCATATTCCACACACTATACAATCTGATTGTACAATCTCCTTACTGAAAACCATGCAGTGCGGGGATCAGCCTGATTTTCGATCGATGGTTCAGGATTTTCCTCATCGTTTGGTATAGATACAGCAGATTGTACAATCAGATTGTATAGTGTATGGCCAGCTTAACTGTTGATAGTCATTATTTATGCAGACAAATCGTTATTCCAC